GACATCATCCCCCTCTTTCCTCTGGTGAGGCCACACCTGGAGAACTGGGACCAGTTCTGGGCTCCCCAGTTCCATAAGGCCAGGGAACTGGTGGAGAGGGTCCAGCAACGGGCTACCAAGATGCTGAGGGGGGCTAGTACAGCTCTTTGATGTGGAAAGGCTGAGGGAGTGGGGGCTTTTTGGTCTGGAGAAGACCAAGGAGGGACCTCATCGATGCTGGTGGGGGGGGGTCAGAAGAATGGGACCAGTCCTTTCCAGTGGTGGCCAGTGACGGGACAGGGGGCAACTGGCCCAAACTGGGAGATGGGAAGGTCCATCTCACCACGAGGGTGACGGAGCCCTGGAAGAGGTTGCCCAAAGGGTGGGGGTCTCCATCTCTGGAGATGTCCCAAACCCATCCCCAACCTACTGGGATGGGGTGGGTTGAACTGGGAGTCAGGGGAGGGTGTCCAGAGGTTCCTATCCACCACCCCCCAGTTTGGGATTCTGATTTTTGCCCCTTTTCCCAGGAATTCAGCCGGTTTTTCCGGCGGCGTCACGGGCGGAGCGTGGCCCTGAGAGACCGCATGGAGTTCCTCAACGGCTGGTACGTCCTCCTGGTCCTCGGGGACGTCCTCACCCTCCTGGGGACGCTCATGAAGATCGGCATCGAGGCCAAGGTGGGGGGACAAAGGGGACACCAACCCCCCCCGGGTGTCCCCAAGCTCCGGGGAAGGGGACGTTTCCACGTGGTGGGGGACAAGCCACCCAATGGGCCATCCCTGGCAAGGCCTTGTCTTGCCCCGGTGAAGCCACCTTAGATGCCACCAGGGAGTTTGGGGACAGACGTGGCTCCTGAGGGGGTCCTGGCCCAAGCTGGGGACGTTGGTGACAGGGAGGTGGCATGTCGTAGATGCCACCAGAGGCTCTGGGGACAGATGTGGCTCTTGAGGGGTTCCTGGCCCAAGTTGGGGACCCCCAGAGCCCTTGGGGACAGGGAGGTGACAGGTTTGGGGACAGATGTGGCTCCTGAGGGGTTCCTTGCCCAAGTTGGGGACACTGGGGACAGGGAGGTGGCATGTCCTAGATGCCACCAGAAGCTTTGGGGACAGATGTGGCTCTTGAGGGGTTCCTGGCCCAAGTTGGGGACGTTGGTGACAGAGAGGTGGCAAGTCCTAGATGCCACCAGAGGCTTTGGGGACAGCATTGGGGACATTGGGGATGTTGAGGGGGGACGTTGGGGACATTGGGGACAATGTTGGGGACGTGCCACCCCTGTCCCCACAGAACTTCTCGGACTATGACGTCTGCAGCATTCTCCTGGGCACCTCCACCCTCCTGGTCTGGGGGGGCGTCATCCGGTACCTCACCTTCTTCCGCAAGTACAACGTGAGTGACACCGGGGGGTGGGTGACACCGGGGGGTGGGTGACACCGGGCGCCCAGGGGACAATTCCTGTCTGAGCTTCTGGCCAGGCTTGGGTTTGTCTTCCAGCTCCTGGAGGGGTCCTGGTGGGTCTGCTTTTGGGTCCCCTCCTGGTGGGATCTTTGGTGGATCTTCCTCCACCATATGCCTCCTGGTGGCACCTTTGGTGGAAGATGGGGTTGATGCCACCAGGTCCCCCCTCTTGGTGCCTCTTGGTGGCACCTTTGGAAGATGGGGTTGTTGCCACCTGATCTTCCTCCACCAGATCCCCTCCTGGTGGCACCTTTGTTAGCTGGGGTTGATGCCACCTGATCTTCTTCCACCAGATCTTCCTCCTGGTGGCACATTTGGTGGATCTTCCTCCACCAGATCTTCCTCCTGGTGGCACCTTTGGTGGAAGATGGGGTTGGTCCCACCAGGTCCCCCCTCTTGGTGGCACCTTTGGAAGCTGGGGTTGATGCCACCTGATCTTCTTCCACCAGATCTTCCTCCTGGTGTCACCTTTGGTGGATCTTCCGCCACCAGATCTTCCTCCTGGTGTCACCTTTGGTGGATCTTCCTCCACCAGATCCCTCCCGGTGGCACGTTTGGTGGATCTTTCTCCACCACATCCCTCCTGGTGGCACCTTTGGTGGAAGATGGGGTTCGTCCCACCAGGTCCCCCCTCTTGGTGGCACCTTTGGAAGATGGGGTTGATGCCATCTGATCTTCCTCCCCCAGATCCTCATCGTCACCCTCCGGCTGGCCCTGCCCAACGTCATCCGCTTCTGCTGCTGCGTGGCCGTCATCTACCTGGGCTACTGCTTCTGCGGCTGGATAGTCCTGGGCCCGTATCACGTCAAGGTGGTGGCCAACGGCCCGGGGGGGGACGGGAGGGGGCATCACCCACCTCTGGGTTGGGGTGTTGGGGGGGATTTCACCCACCTCCGGGTTGTCCCCTCTTGGGATTTGGGGAGGGGGGAGATGGTCTCCTTTTTGGTAACGGGGGATAAATATGATCCCTTTTATTTAATATTCAATTAATACTTAATTACTATTTATTATTATATTAAAATTATATATTTAATAATATATCAGCGTTATAAATTATGAATTAGTATTAATTTTTTAATGATCTTTATCTTTTATGTAATTTATTGTATTGACTGTATTATAATAGTAGAAACATTAGAAATAATGTAAATAAACCTATACTATCATAAAGATGTTATAATAATTAGAATTAAATAAGTATTATTTATTATAATAATTATAATAGTAAAAATATTAGAAATAATATAATTAAGCCGAAAATAAATAAAGAGAATAAAATGTAAATAAATAAAACATATGAAAGTAATAAAATAAATACATAATAAAATAAATAGTATATAAACAATAAAATAAATAAAATAAATAATATAATTAAACTAAAAAATATATAGAAATATAATTAACTAAAATAATCTAAATACAATAAATATATTAGAATAATAATTATAATTAAATATTATAAGTATTATTTATTGTAATTATAATAGTAGGAATCTTAGAAATAATATAAACTCATATTATTATAAATATATATGAAAATAACAATTATAATTAAATATTGTATTTTTTATAATAGCATATTTATATATTAGATATCAATATATATTTATACTTATTGTAATTATTCATTTTTAAATAATAAATCGATTCACTATTATAATTATTTGTCATTAGTATTAAATTTATTTATTATTATAATTACTATTTGTTATAGTATTTATTATAAGTGTACATATTTAAATTATTACATGAATATATAGATCTGTAGTGATTACGACATCAAAAATTAACGTGTAATCAATTAAATTAATATTAAATCAATAAAATTAATACGAAATAACAATAATTATAACAACAACAACAATACTATTATTAATAATAATAGTATCAATAACGAATAATTTATGGTTTATTGCGGTTAAACCTGGCCCTGGCCTGGTGGCCCAGGGGCGCCCCGGGGTGACGGAGGGTTCACTCCCCGCTTTCGGGGTCCCCCCAGGAGGTGACGCGGTGGCTTTTCTCCCCCTTTTTTTGTGTCCTCCGTCCCCCCAGTTCCGCTCCCTCTCCATGGTGTCCGAGTGCCTCTTCTCCCTGGTCAACGGGGACGACATGTTCGTCACCTTCGCCGAGGTGCAGCCCAGCAACCCCTTGGTCTGGCTCTTCAGCCAGGTCTACCTCTACTCCTTCATCGGCCTCTTCACCCTCATGGTCCTCAGCCTCTTCATCGCCCTCATCACCGGCTCCTACGAGAGCATCAAGGTCGGGGCGGGGGACTGGTTTTTGAGGGGAAAAACTGGGGTTTGGGATTGGTTTTTGCGGGGGAGAAATTGGCCTTGGGCCTGGTTTTTGGGAGCAGACACCGGGCCTTGGGCCTGGTTCTTTGGGGGGAAAAAATGGGCCTTGGGCCTGGTTTTTTGGGGGCGGGAACTGGGGTTTGGGCCTGTTTTTTTGGCAGGGGCAAGACTGGGCCTTGGGCCTGGTTTTTTGGGGGCGGGAACTGGTGTTTGGGCTTCTTTTTTGAGGGGGGAACTGTGTTTTGGGCCTGGTTTTTGGGGGGAATTGTGTTTTGGGCTTGTTTTTTGAGGGGAAAACTGGTGTTTGGGCCTGTTTTTTTGGCAGGGGCAAGACTGGGCCTTGGGCCTGGTTTTTTGGGGGCGGGAACTGGGGTTTGGGCCTGTTTTTTTGGGAGTGGGAACTGGGGTTTGGGCCTGTTTTTTGAAGGGAAAACTGGGGATTGGACCCGTTTTTTGGGGGGAAACAGGTTTGGGCCTGGTTTTTGAAGGGAAAACTGGGGATTTGGCCTGGCTTTTGAAGGGAAAACTGGTGTTTGGGCCTGGTTTTTGGGAGCGGACACTGAACCTTGGGCCTGGTTTTTGGACTGGGGATTGGGCCTGTTTTTTTGGGGGAAAACTGGTTTTTGGGACTGGTTTTTGAGGGGGGAAACTGGGGTTTGGGCCTGGTTTTGGGGAGCAGACGCTGAGCCTTGGGTCTCGTTTTTGGACTGGGGATTGGGCCTGTTTTTTTGAGGGGAAAACTGGGCCTTGGGCCTTGCTTTTGAGGGGAAAACTGGTGTTTGGGGGTAAACTGGGGTTTGGGCCTGGTTTTTGGGCCAGGAAACTGGTGTTTGGGCTTATTTTTTGGGGGGGGGGAGCTGGGGAACCCAAAGACCAACCTTTCCATGTCCCTCTGGCCCCCCCAGCACCAGTGCGAGGGTGACCCCCCCGTGTCTGAGCTCCAGGCCTTCATCGCCCAGTGCCAAGACAGCCCCAAATCGGGCAAATTCCGGAGCGACACCCCCTCGTCCTGCTCCCTCTTCTGCTGCTGCGAGCGGTGAGCTGGGAGGGCTCCTGGGCTTACTGGGAGGACGCTGGGGGACTCCTGGCTTACTGGGAGGACACCGGGGGGACTCCTGGGCTTATTGGGTGGGCTCCTGGGTTACTGGGAGAACACTGGGAGGGCTCCTGGCTTACTGGGAGGACGCTGGGGGGCTTCTGGGCTTACTGGGAGGGCTTCTGGCCTACTTGGAGGACGCTGGGGGACTCCTGGGCTTATTGGGGGGCTCCTGATTTACTGGGAGGACACTGGGGGGGGCTTCTGGGCTTACTGGGAGGGCTTCTGGGCCTACTTGGAGGACACTGGGGGGCTCTTAGCTTACTGGGAGGAGACTGAGCAGGCTCCTGGGCTTATTGGGGGGCTCCTGGTTTACTGGGAGGACACTGGGGGGGGCT